TTCTCTTTATTTGATGTCCCAGGCTCGTGGTCAATGACATAACCTTCAAAGCACACTAAACCTAATACTAACGGTGCAATAATTTATTGGTATGACTTCTGCCTCAAAAGGTAAGTAACACAAATGTTTCAGGATTACAGTATATATGATCAGACTAGTGTCATTGCATTAAAAACAAGTTATAGCTCAGAGCTATATGATGTGGTTTTTAGTATCTGAAATGCATTACTTGTAAGCTCCTGTCTTAAAAGACCCCGTGTCTCAAATTGGCATGTCTTGCACTTTCTGCAGCTCAATTTTGTAAACACAAAGTATTTAATTCCTAGAATCCTAAAACAAAACAGGTTTATTGAATCATCTATCTCACCAACTCCCCAAGAAGAGAATAACACATTTTAAACCCATAAGCCTGTTCGACCATGCTAAGACCTTCTTTTGAACTAGTCAGAATCATTATAGTTCAATATTCTTTTGTATATATTGTGCAAATGCAAAAAAAAAAAAGAGAAAAACAACGAACAGGAAAAACACAAACACTGTGCTATGAAAGAACAGATACCACCTTTTAGAATAGCCTTTCAGAAATTAGATGAATGCTGAGAAGCCCCCGAACATGGGATTCTGTTAAACAATTGCCAGGGGACACTCTCAAGAGAGAAGTGGTGAGTGATCTGGGGTCTTGAAAACCATGTCACAATGTTGTGGGTTGGCCAGCACCTGTGATAAAGAAATCAGAGCGACATTTGGTTAAAGTAATCAATGCTTCTTGCTTCAGATGTTTAAAGGTTTCCCAAATTAGCTATGGCCGCTGCCAAAGCCTCTTCCCTCTAGGGAAGAAAACCTGCCCCACCCTCCCGCTCAGTGTGTTCCCAGGAGGGGCAGTATTGGTATTACCCGGAGCTGGACTTCTGAGCCCCATCCCGGAACTTCACAAGAGCCCAAGTGATTCACATGCCCTGTAAAATTTGGTTGAAATCCTCTGGATTTCACCCTACACCATATGATCCCCATCAAGTTTTCTACCTTGCCTTCTTGGCAAATAAGCAAGAAAATACTCTCCCTTCTCTCAGTTTCTTTAGGCTGTGGTTTCTCTAAGAATAAAGACATTGCTACGGGAGGCATTTGGCATAGGATCTAGAAACAGGATTGCTGGAGTAGCAATGAGAAACACAGAACACCCAGTGAAATCTGAATGTCAGAGAAACAACAAATACAACTTTTAGCCTAAGGGTCTATCCGATATGATATATGGGATATAGTAGTGCTAAATCCTGAACACGCAATATTTGAAACAGACGCCTACAAAAGTAATTCATTATTTATCTGAAATTCAGACTTAACAGGGCAAAAAAATATTTAACTGGGCATCTTGTCCTTTTTTTTTTTAAATCTGGCAACCCTATCTAGGAAGGATAGTTTGAGTCCTCTATTTCCCGCTGAAAGCTTCACAAACTTTCTCCTTCACTTTAGGCTCTACAGTTGTGACGAGGCAACTGCAACATTGGAAACGACCCTGGGGGTTTTGCATTAAACACATTTCGTGTGAGTGAATGATGGAACAGACACAAAGACACAGTCACCCAACGCCCAGGCGCAAATGGCACAAGTGAAACATGTGCCGGCTCGGTCCCTGACAGGTAATTTGTTTTGCGCGTCCATTGCCATTTACATACGGACTTAAAAACTGTTTACATTGCTTTTAGGAATTGCATTTTAATATGCCGTTATGCTATTTTTCCTCTCCAAGAGAAAAATTTCATTTCAATGTGACTAGTTACTTGAAGAAAATAGGATTATATATTCAGGTTTTATTATTCCATACAATGAAATTATTTTGTTTCACTTAGCATGCCTATGATGTAAACCACCCCTCATATCTATCCATCTCCCCTCTTCTCAACTCAGATCAAAATCAAATAAAGAAAAAAGAAAAATGATTTTTAGCTATTTCTTTCCATTCCGACTCTTTTATTGCATCTGGGATATAGTCAACCCAATTCAAGTGTATTTATATTTCTCTAGCTCATCATTATCCCCTCCACCTATTCACTCCTAACATATATGTTTTTCTTATGACACCAACAAGAAAAATAAGCAGTATTTTCAGATGTGCTGGTCATTCTCCCTGTGATGTGCGGACTTAAAGTTTAGCCTAAAATGACATTAACATTTATCTGGAAAACTAAACATGAGAGTAGAGTTAGGAAAATTTGGAAAAAATAATTAGAGTAAAGGTGGCCATTATGACTCAGTTTTAAAACATATTACGAAGCTATAATAATTAAAATTGTTTGACATGAGATAATAAATAGATTAATAAAACATATGATATCCAGAAATAGACCTAAATATATATGTGAACTTAGTTTATGAGAAAGCTGGCATTTCAAATTAGTTAGGAAAAAAGGGATTACACATTAAGTTATATTCACACAATTGGCTAATTGGCGGGGGGAGGGGGGGGGAGGAAGCTGGATATTTATCTCATTTCTAACCCCAAAATACAATCCTGATGTCACAAATCTACATGTGAAAAAGAAAACAAAAAACAATCCTAGGAGAAATCTCGGCTAAATTTATGACATTGGAGTAGTGAGAGTTTTTCTAAGTAGGATGCAAAACACAGAATCCAAAAAAAAGAAATAAAAAAAGGTATGTTAAGTTACCTAAGTAAAAATCCTTTCTATGAAAAAAAATCATAAAGTAGAAAGGTGAATGATAAGTGCAACAAGCAGCAAATATAAAATAAAAGGGAAATGTCTTGAATTTATAAAAGCTCATATAAGTCAAGTGCCAATAGGGACAATGGGCAAAGGAAAAAGAAGTACTTTTTTTTTTAATAGAAAAAG